GAAGACATATACCATGCAATGCGGTAATTCCACTGCTGGGTATTTACCCCCCAAAACCAAAAAATATGGATAAAAAAATACATGCACCCCTATATTATTGCAGCCTTATTTTGAAAGCTACTTAAGTGTCCATTGAAAGGTAAATGGATAAAGATGAGGTATACATACAAGGGAATATTACTCAGGCATAAAAAAGAAGGAAAGCTTACCATTTGCAACAACGTGAATAAATCTAGAGAGTATTATGTTAAGTGAAATAAGTCCGTCCTTACCATTCCTTAAGGCTCAGATTGTCTCAGCTCATGAATGTTTGTGTGACCACGTCAGCCTTACCTTTGCTCTGTTCTCTAAGTCCTTAGAGCCTTTATAACATTTAATGACATATTGTCCTTGAAGACTGCTTAATGTGGATTAGTCTTTTCTCCTCCATGTGAATATGTCTATACCTCTCTCCCACAACTGCTGCTACTCCCTCCTTACATGACCATCTCCCACTATAGCTTCTATTGAACCTTTTATAAAGTGGATATCTAGGTAGGTCATGCTGTATTTTAACATATCTAATATAATAACGTTTATGGTAATAATTTTATCTGAAGCATATAACAGGGAAAGTTGAGGTTCAGAAAGGTTAAATGACATGCCTAAGGAGGCACACTCAGTAAGAAACAGTGCTAGGTTCCAAAGCCAGGCTAACATCAAAACTCCTGCTCTTCCCAGACTCGACTCACAGATGACATACAGAATAGCACAGGGAAACTTAGTTACCTTAGTTTGGTATTAAATAACAATATTCCCATATTACTACTAAGGAATCTTGTCCTTTCTCAAGATGACTGAACCAAACTGAGAGACAACCATGAAAAGAAATATTTAGAATTTGCAACCATAAGGAACGGATTACGTTACACAGATCTTCAATCCCAGTAGTACTTTGGCAGTTATCTAGGATCCAAACGTGGCTTATTGTTCTTTGATACATATAGTCCAGCTATGGAGCTGAGTAAGAGAGACCTGCTACGGGCCACATGTGGGCAGCCACCCCTCACTGGGACTGACTGACACCTCTAGGTGGGGGCAACATCTACTGAGAGGTCCACCCTTAGAGCTGTGGGGCCAACACCAGAATGAAAATGTCTAACTTCTCAGAGTTACTCTACAAATATGGGGCCAGGTATGGAAGGGCCAAATTTCAAAATAATAATAATAATAAATGTACTGGTGGTGCCAACTTATTTTTCTGCCTAATGATGTAAAAAACAAGTAAGCAAAAATTCGAGAACTAGATAACATGATGTTGGAATGAAACTTTCCATGAACATAACAGATGCCACATACTTTGGACATGCAATACAAGGTTTGCAAAAGAGATATGAAAACCAGCCCCATTACCTTTATGTTTCAGAGTGATCAAGAGCATATAAAGGTTGGGATCTTGTGGTTAAAGATTTCCTTAAAAAAAAAAAATCAAGTGTTGGTGAAGATGTGGAACATCCAGAACTCTCTCATACACTCCTGGAGGGAATGTTTATAGGTACAACCACTTTGAGACAGCGGAAGAATCTACTAAAGCTGAATATGTAAGTATAGATGAATTGTGTCCCCCACCAAATTCATATATTGGAAGTCCAAATGCTTGTTACCTCAGAATGCGACCATATTTGGAGACAAGATCTTAAGGAGGTAACTAAGGTAAAGTGAAGTCATATGGGTGAGCCCTAATCCAATATGACTGGTATCCTTATAAGAGAGTAAATGTGGACACAGACACATACAGAAAGGCCAGGTGAAGACAGAGGGAGAAGATGGCCATCTACAAATCAAGGAGAGAGGCTTCAGAAGAAATCAACCCTACCAACTCCTTTATTTCAGACTTCCAGCTTCCAGAGCTGTGAGAATACAAGCTTCTGTTGTTTATGTCAGCCAGTTTGTGGTACTACTTGGTTATGGCAGCCTTAGCAAACCAACACATCATACACCCAATGACTCAGCAAATCCACTTCTAGGATGTACCAACTAAAATGTGTAATTTTATCACCCAAAGACATATTTTTTTAAGTTTATTTTATTTTGAGAGAGAGAGAGACAGAGAGAGAAAGAATTCCAAGCAGGCTCCACCATGTCAACATGGAGTCTGATGCAATGCTCAAATCCACCAACCGTGAGATCATGACCTGAGCCAAAATCAAGAGTCAGACGCTTAACCAACTGAGCCACCCAGGTGCCCCCCGCCAAAGATATATTTAATAATACTCAGAGTATCCCTTTTCACAGAATAGTCTCAAACTGGAAACTACCCAAATGCCTGTGAACTGCAGAATATGTAAATAATTGTGATCTGTTCACACATTGAACGATTTAGAGCAATGAGAATAAACCATCTCAAACTACAGACAACAATGTGGACAAATTTCAAGTGTAATGTTGAATGGAAGAGGTCAGACACGAAGAGTACATAATGAATGATTCCATTTATATGATGAACAAAAACAGATCATACTATTCTTTACTAACAGAATATAGAACTGTTTACCCTTCGGGGGGAAGCAACTGGAAGGAAGCAACAAGGAAGGCTTTGGGGCTACTAGTCATGTTCTATTTCCTGGTCTGGGTGCTATTTCATGGGTGTGCACAATTTGTGAAAATTCAGTGACCTATACAGTTAATCTATAAGTGTATATATAATTTGGTGGAAAAGTTTGCAAAGGAGGTTTTCTATTAAGAAAGCTGTGTGCGAGTCTGTGACAGGCTTCCCTGCCTCTATTTGCTTGGGGGTACAGGAGACACAGAAGGGGCTGCTCCGTGATGCCAGGTCTTCTGAGGAAGCTTCCAGGGATCTCTTAAACTACCTGGCGTGTGTGTTTCGGGGAGTTTGGGGGACAAAGTGAAACATATAAAGAGTCAGGACCCGTGGCTTGCTAACTGCTCTGGTGGCAGACCAAACAAAATATTTTCATGCTAGGGACAGTCTGCCCTTGTTTGTCAGGGAAGGACTACAGAAGCATTTCCCATCAGGCAGATCACAGCCATCCCACAGGACAGAACTGGTGTGGAGGAGCTAAGACCTCCCAAAAGAAGCCACTTAAAAGGCGAAAACACAACTAAAGCTGAAAGGCTGATGCATTGCTGAAATGCTGCTGGTTTAAGAAAAATAAACTTGTGGAAGAGTGCGGATGCATTTTCTCTTGTCGCGGGAACCACAAGTGAGCCATCTCCAGCAATGGGGGTGGTAGTGGTGTCTGAAGAACCCATCACAGACTAAACACTTGTCAGCCCTCAAGAGTGGGCTGGCTTCTATCAGTGTTTGTCAAATAAGACCTTTCCTGACCCCTGCACCTCTCTCACCTTGCCCTAATCAGGAAAAGGTTAGAAACCCCTCGTCATCAAGAGAAGGAGGTCTAGGCAGAGGAATGTGGCCTGTGTTTCCAACATGTTTCACACTGAGAAAGAGAGAAAATCATCCATATTTGAATTTTAAGTCATAAGTCACCCATTATGGCCCAGGGAAAGAGAGTTAAAATCACAGAGAAATTTTCAAGGGGTTATAAATTGATTTTATACTCACAAAACTTACACCTAGAAAGTCTGCTTCCCTCCCAGTACTACAAATGACTCTTGGGCCAGATCAAAACGACTTCCTCAATAGTGTAGACTAATGTTCAGCAGAGGTAGGGGTGATGGGGAGGGATGAACTGAGGACAGCCCTGGTGTTTTTCACTTGGGTAATCGGAAAAGTCTCACATCAACGATCAAAACATGGCTGCAGGACAAGACAGCAGGCAATGTATGAGTTCACCTTTGGTGTGCTGCATTGGTGGTGTCTTCGGGCTCTGAGGGTAAAATTTTTCCATGGAGAGCTGGGAACCGAGTAAAGAAATTGAGAAGAACTAGCTCAGATTAGAATAATTAGTGTATAGATTCAGGTCATGTCTGAGGGGTAGATGTGGTTTCCCAACAAGAAATATTTAGAAACTTGTGAGGAGTGAAGAGTAGGACAGCCTGCGAGGACACAGTGAAGGAGGTATGAAAGGGAGAATGATTTTTCCTGAAGCTGAAGCAAGAAGGTCCCCTGAAGAAAAAGGGATAAGAAGTAGCAAACTTCTACAGATGTCAGGGAAAAGAAACACTGAGAAGGACTCATTTAACATCAGAGGACTCCCAATGATCTTAGAGTGATGATCTTGTGAAAAGAACTTGGGGGACAAGCCAGAAAACAGAGCTATGGAAAAATGGGACATGAGAAAAATCCAGACAATCCACAGACTATTCTAGAAATCTGGTGACATAGGAAAGAAGGGCAAAAGTTTAAACATAGAAAGGGTTAAAGGAAGGGAGTCTTACTTTTCAACTCCTTTTCAACATGTTCCACACTTAGAGAGAGAGAGAAACACCATTAAAATTTGAATTTTAAGTTGTAAGTCAGCCCAATCGCTTCTGGTGGAAGCTGTGGCCCAGGGAAAGATTGTTAAAGTCACAGAAAAATTTTCAAGGGGTTATAAACTGATATTTATTTGGCAGTCTGGGAAAGCCTATGAATTCCCTCTCAAGAATCTTTTTATTTATTTATTTATTTATTTATTTATTTATTTATTTATTTATTTATTTTTAACGTTTATTTATTTTTTTGGGACAGAGAGAGACAGAGCATGAACGGGGGAGGGGCAGAGAGAGAGGGAGACACAGAATCAGAAACAGGGTCCAGGCTCTGAGCCGTCAGCACAGACCCCGACGCAGGGCTTGAACTCACTCACGTGAGACCGTGACCTAGGTCAATGTCGGACGCTTAACCGACTGAGCCACCCAGGCGCCCCTCAAGAATCTTTTTAAATGCAGAAAGAAAATATGTAAGATTACAAAATACACAACTTATATTAAAAAAAAAAACACCTATCAAAACAGTTTTAAGAATTTGTGGTTTAACAATACATGTGTATCTTTGTCAATGCATTAAAGAGTAAAATCTATTGGCAGAAATAACTTTTGTAATTTGGCAGTAGTGATGAGTGCCGATGATGTTTCAAGAAATCTTTATGCAATTAAACCTTGTGTTTCTAGTGACAAAGTCACATAAACTGCTAAGAATACTGAGGTTTTGTTACATTCATAATAAAATGTTAAATTTCAGTAAAAGTTGATTAAATATACAATATATGTAATACAGTATTCTGTAAAATATTATATATACATACATCTAAATTCATCAGCTCCACTAAATTCTATCCATGGCTCCGCTGGAGTAGGGAAGGATCTAGAAATCTTAGGTTAAGACTATTCAGCTAAGAGAAGGAGGTGGTTTGTTGCTTTTGTTTTTGATTAAAGGAGAGAAAAATTGTTCATGGAGACTGGAAAGTTTTGAGTCTTCCTTTGGTGGTATGGAAGTGTAACGTGATGGTACAAGGGTAGCCTCTGGAACTAGACCCTTTGAGTTTTTTTTTTAACTGAAGTATGGTTGGCATTATCACATAGTTTCAGGTGTACAACACAGTGATTCCACAAGTCTAGACTCCTTGAGTTTGAATCTTGGCCTCGTTCACTAGCTGTGTGACACTTTGCAAATTATTTAGCCACTTAACTTCTTTATTCTTCAGTTTCCTTACGTGTAAAGTGGGGATGACAGCAGGAACCCACCTCATAGGTTATGTGGGTATAATAAGCATACTTTAGCCATTATCATCTTGACCACTTTCCACTCACTCAATACCCCTAGCTGCATGGGACACCTTCACTTCCTTGAATGTTCCACATTCTTGCTCAGACTGCTGCTCATACCGTGTTTTTCTGAGAGACTCTCCCCATCTATTCTTCACATAACTGACTCTTTCTCACCCTTTGGGGCTCAGCCTAAATATTATCGCTCAGAAATGCTTTCCCAAAAGCTATGTCCGAAGAGGCCTTCCACAATTATTCTCTACAACGAGCTCCATCATGGCTGGGCTTGTGTCTGTCTTGATCATCTGTGTAGCCCTGTGCCCGCCACATCATAAACTCTCCATCAACAGTCATTAAATGAGCCACTGGATAGGGAGAAACTGAGGAAAGAAACAGGGACACCCTGGCTATATTAATGCCTGTGAACAGTGCTTCAACTTACAACGTGGGTATGGATTTTATTAAGATTGTTCTCAGATTTGTTTTTAGAGGCGTTGGAAAGCCAAACACATTGCTTACATTAAAATGTCTGCAAGGTAGCATTTAGCCTTTCCTCAAACACTAGGAGGATCCCCTCTCTGGTCTAGACTGACTCAAGTAAAGCAGGACAAGAATGTCAAATTCTGAGCTGTGCTATGACTATCCAGATTCATGCAGGCCGTGCCTAGGAAATCCACAGGTGATGTGTCTCCAAAGCCAGTATTCTGCTATCACTTCACTTCTAGGCAACACGTGAGGGAAAAGATCTTGGTCCAGCATTTAGGATCCTGACTTCTAATTCTGATTTTTCATGTTTGACTGGGTGATCGTAAGCAGGTCAACCTCTTTGAGCCTTAGTTGTTTTCAACTTACAAATAGCAATTTAAAAACATCTGCTGCTACCAAGCAAAATCTATTCTTCCCTTCACCCTGAATACAGGAGTAGGCTACACTTCCAAATTCCCCTCAAGGCTTGTGTGGTTATGCGATTAAAGTCTTGCTAGCAGAAGAATGTAAGCACAAGTGTCATTTGTAACCTGTGTTTACTTGGTCAAGGCCCTTTACTTCCAGGTTTGAATGGTGCGGACCAGGGCAATCTCAAAAGTGGCTTATTAAAGGTGGCAGAGCTGCTATGAGCCTGGGTCCCTAAATGGCTATGTAAAGCAGTCAGTCCCTGATCTGCAACCTTCGGCTAGGGTTGTTAAATAAGAGAGAATTAAGCCACTCGCTTCCTGGAGTATATATGTTAGAGCAGCTAGTGTATTTGTGACTAATACACAAGTCCTATTTACTTTATAGGATTGTGATAATATGCCTAATGTATGGGAAAGAGCTTTGAGAAGGAGCAAGTACTCTCAAGTCATCATTATTTTTTTCTAGCTTTATTGAGATGTAGGTGACATACAACACTGTATGTTAAAGGTATACAATGTAATGATTTGAGAAATGTATCTATTGCAAATCACCATTACTATTAATAGAGAAAAGTGCATACTTAAGTGCCCGACACATAGTAGATATTTAATATTTATTTGTTGAGTGAATGAATGAATGCATCAATGAACATCTCGCTGAAAAAAGGCTGAGATAAAAAAAATTCTATCCAATACTATAGCACTGACAAAATATTTGTTCAGTCAGGGAAAACGTTTGATTCACTTGAATTCATACAGGTAAAGCAAAACCCCTAGATATGAGCTTCTTCAAGAAGATTCTTGTTTTTCTTTTTAACACTTTTTCCATCAAAATAAATTATAAAATATCAAACATTTTAAAAAAGGAAAACAGACCCTTAATCTCACCGTCCAAACACAGCTTTCATTTTCACCCAGTGCTTTCTATCTATGTGCATGCCTACTTTTCTTAGATGTAAATCTGTTTCTTATTATTATTTTTAAAGTAACTTTTAATTTGTACTTGGTAAGGAAAGCAAAGGCTTGGTAATTCTCCAGAAGTGATTCCAACAAAGAATCACCTAATATTTCTAACAGTTCCAATTTAATTTTGCCAAGGGGTTCCACTCTTATTAAAAAGTATACCAGGGAGAAGAGGTGATTTTCATAAGAAAGTACATGGGGGGGGGTCTTAATTCTCACTATGATTAGGGTGATCACAATTATAAATGTCACAATCTCTCCACTTGCAATTTAAGAGCTATCTTGTGGGTCTTACAAAAATTACATGGGGGGCAGATGAGTGCATATGGATCTTATTGAAGGCTATAAGTGAATTCGATGATTAATTCGACAAATATTTATTGAGTTCCTATTATGTGTTAAACATAACGTGGACCATAAGACACAGTCTCTACCCCTGAAAAGGTTAAAGTAGTGATGAAAGACAAGAAGAGATACTGTGGTGAGCTCAGAGGAGAGGTGAGGCCTGGGGCAGTAGCTGGAGGAAATGAGACCCAACATCTGGCTGGGAGTTAGGCAGGTAATGGGGCAGAGGTGGGTTCAGGCTTCCCAAGCACATGGACCTGAATGAATGAAAGCAAGAAAGTACACGATACTCATGGGCATGCAAGTTACTGTTAGGATGCTAGCAGAGCATGCTGGTGGTGAATGGATGAATGGATGAGTGGATGAGAATGGAGAAGTAAGCAGAGGTCAGATCAGGAAGAGTGGATAAGCTTCCTTAGAGCAGTGAGGTGTTTGCTCTGTGCCACCTAGGACAGCACCTGGCAAATAGGCTTTCCATCTGTCTTTGTGGAATGAATTAACCCACACCATGCTACACAGTTGACCCATGACTGGTCATTGGGATTGGCCTCTGGCTACAAAGGAAGGGTACACACACACACAGCTGTGAACGACAGCTATTCCTTTGTCTCTAGAGACTGCATCTATGATGGTGCTTACCGCCATGCTGGGGGTGCCACGTGATCCCTGCTAGCTTCTCCTCTCAGGGATGCTGCTTTATTCCTGGTGGTCCTGAACTGCTAAACAGCAGGGTCAGACACGCTGAACCCTAATCTCAGAAATGCCCCCCTTGCCTCAATTTCAGTTTTCAGTGGTATCAAGAATGCCACACATGTAGTTCTCAGGACATGCTTGCAAACACAATACATTAACGCCATTTCCAATTCCTAATCCTAGAGGCAGAGAGCATCGAGGTGGGTGTGAAGATGTGGGGGAGCTGGGGAGGAAACAAGAGGGGCTAAGAAGAAGTGTTGTGAAGACTGCTACTTGTGTGTCTATCTTTGACTGTAGTCTTCTCTATGCTTTGCAACTACTTTTAGTTGAAACTGAGCATCGATGATGTCAAAGTGCCAGAAGTCTTACCTTCTAGGGAAATGAGCGGATTAATAAACCGGATCTAGCAATAGTGAATAATTTGGAGACAAAGCAGATTTGACTCACAGCAGCCCAGCAGGGTGGCTTACTTTGGAAACATTTTGCCACCGCTCTGCTGGGCATACTAAAAATGCACAATGTGGCCTGACGCCATGGGAGAAGCACGTGGATTCAGCTGCTGAAAAGTGATGTGAAATTAAGGAGAGAATGAGATGTGTGATCTTATTTAATCACACCCAGTGCTTCAATTTCTCAATAACAGCACCCTGCTCCACTGTGTCAAATTGGTTTGCGTGTGTGCGTGTGTGCACACGTAGAAATTACAGCCAGAGGATAGACTGACTCTGATGCCTGCCAGTCCGTTGTAGGGGATCTAATATGCAAATGATAAATAAGGTTTCCTCGTAAAGAATTTCAGAGCAATTATCTTTGGGCCTGGACTGGCATAAAGTCACCATAACTGAGGGGTAAGCCATGAAATTTCACCTCCTAAAAGAGGCCAAAACCTCAGGGTCCCAAGCTGGGGGTGACTTAGGGAAGATTCTGTATTTTAATACCCAAAGTATATTCCAGGTCACGCTTTCTTCTGGCCTGATGGCCAAGAGTGTGAATCATATTGTTTCAGATTCTAGGAGGATGATAGCTAGGCACCAAGAAGAGGCAGCATGAACCACTGTAGCTTATTTAGGAATGTATGTTCGTGAGGTTAAAATTTCATTAATCTGTACTGGAATTGGTATATACAGAGATCACCTCCCCTTCCCTGGCCCCCTCACTAAGGAACTGCTACCTTGTGGCCCAAGGGGATTTCTACTAAGTATTACACACACTGTATTTCTAGGGGCCTGCACATGTTTCCCTGGCTAGTCAGACACTTTATGGCAAAGAGGTTCTAAAGGATAGCAAGGTGCTTCACCTAATGTCACAATGATTACTGCAATTAAATGTCCCATTTTCTGGGGTGGGGGGTACTTTCTACATGATTCCATTTAGCAGCAGAAAATAAAAGCTTAAGTATAATTAGCTTAACATTGACAGCTTTACATCCCATTTACGGTGAAGGAAATAAAAAATGAGAACTAGACAATAGCTATTTTGATCCTTCCCAGGGAGTAACCACATGATGGCCTGCAAACCCACACACAAGTGAGTGATTCCCAAAGATGCACTGCTGGTTTAGAGAAGATTTGTTTAAAGAGATCGACTCAGTGAAAGGAATTACATAGGGAATACATGAATGGAGTGCTCAGAATTCTGACATAATCAATTTTCAGAAGCATGGGATTTCAATATATATTTTGAAAATAATCTCCTAAGTATAGTTCCTTATTGCCAGAGACCCAGGTAACTAAAAGTCCTCCTTGTTTCACTCTTGCTTCTGAAAATCCTGCCTGTGTTAGCCATCTGGGTAGCACTTATATACAGCCTGTTGTGATCCTCTGATCTCCTCTGGAACTGGAGGCTTCTTGTAGGCAGAAAACCTGGCTCATTCATCTTTGTCACTCATTGTCAAAGTGTATGATGCAGTACCTCCATGCCATAGGTACTCAATAAACAGGTGTGAATCGGACCATTCGTCACTGTAGGTCACATTATTCTGGAAAGTAATTAGTTATCTTCCAGCCTCTGAAGAAACAATGAGTAAATGTCAGAGGAAGTGGGGAGAGGAGAGGAAGGATGGCAGGCAATCAAATGAAGTTATATTGAAATTAATTCTCGGGGCACCAGGGTGGCTCAGTCAGTTCAGTGTCCGACTTTGGCTCAGTTCATTATCTCACAGTTCGTGGGTTTGAGCCCCGCGTCGGGCTCTGTGCTGACAGCTCAAAGCCTGAAGCCTGCTTCAGATTCTGTGTCTCCCTCTGCCTCTCCCCTGCTTGTGTTCTCTCTCTCAAAAATAAATAAATAAACATTAAAAAAATTAATTCTCTGATATGAAAAAGATCTACTGAATGGACTCTTTATAGTCATTGAGTGAGAATCTATAAAAATAAAATGTTGATTTAAAATAAAGTCCTATCCATTCTGCTATGTGGTAGATTCCCTTGGTCTATTGAAGCGCCTAAGCCACCCTCGGGTCATGAACACAATCTTTCGCGGGCAGGAGGGCAGCCACGTCTGAGCGGCAAAGGTGGTGAGCTGTGGCAAGATCCGTGGGGGTTTCATCATGATCCTGATTCAGAAAACAAATTTTCAACTTGAAAAATTGTGATCAGGGATGTCTTTTAAGGCTTGCCAAGTCTATGTTCAATTTTTAATCTGTAGACTGAGAGTAGTCTTTTAGATGCTAGATATTTATAAGCAAATCTACAATAATGTAACAGGTCATTTAACATTCCCAATTATACTGTGGCTCAGGAATAAGCTGGTCTGCTCTCTTCACCCTCTTTTTAGTAGGTAACAGTGGATAAGACCACATTCCCTTCCCACTTTTAAACCCTGTGGAAACCTGCCCTTACTTTTAATGTGACACCCAAATCCTGTCCTCGTGGCTGCCATGGCTCTGCAGCGAGTTTTCCCCTCATCTTTGGCCACTGCCTACCTTCTTCACTGTGCCTTTATGCTAATTCCTTTAGTTTGCCAAGTCCTTCCCAGCCTCTGGGCTCTTCCTACTGGCTGTGACTTTATCGTATTACCGTTTTCCTTGTTTCTTTGCTTAACTTGTTTATCAATTGGGGCTCCTATTTTTTTAAATTAATTAATTAATTAATTAATTAATTTTTTTAACCTTTATTTATTTTTGAGACAGAGAGAGACAGAGCATGAACGGGGGAGGGTCAGAGAGAGGGAGACACAGAATCCGAAACAGGCGTCA